TTAGTGTTTGTGTATTTAATGTGTGGCCCAAGACAACTCTTCTAATGTGGCCCAGAGGAGCCAAAAAGTTGGATGCCCCTGGTCTAGACCAAATCTTCAGTGTCTCTGGAGTGGCCTCCATGCCTAGTCCTGAGACATCTTTGGCCTGGCTGTCCCTGAGGCCTGTAGGGCTCTGCCTCCGTGGTGAGAGGACATGCCTGGGGTCCATGTGCCATGGTCAGATCCCAGCAGGCCCGTTTCCATCCCTAGTTCTGTGTCAGAGTCCATGTGGCGTAGACTACTTGGCACAAAGTGAGGGTCTCTCGGTAGGCCATCACTGCCTGCAGACTCTGTGCTAACCTCTGGGCATTCGACCCTAAAAATGGTCTTCACAATCCACATGCCCCAACCCTAGACCCCTCCTTAGAGTCACTCTTCTAAGTATTGGAGTGTTTCCCTCATCTTATTGGCCACTAGGACTCTCCTTTCTGGGAAGGGCCCATTGCTCACCTTTCTTTCTTACTGGTTCCTGATCACTCTTTGCATGTGAGGGAATCCTGCCCTTTTGTCATGCCTCCACAATTTCTACTCGTCTTTGCGGAGATCGCTGTAAACAAGTCTCTCTCCCCTGAGAATCTGACTCTTTATCTTGTGTCCACCCCTGGCTCCAGGATTTTCCTGGGGGTTGTGGCAGCCAGCCTGATGCCTCCTGCTTGCTCCTATGTCACCTCTTAGTTTGTTGAGACATCCAGGCCTGGCTGGTGAGATGGGGGCCAGGAGATTGGCTGTCTGTGCTCAGTGGGTGGACATATTGGGCCAATGACTGGTAGTCCTGGGGGCCCACACCGTCCTCTACCTTATTCACCATGTGACTATGTTCTGGGTGCCTCCTGTACTGACTGTGGCATTGCCCTTCTGTCTCCCCTGGGGGGAGGGTGTCAGTTGTTGCTCTTCCTTTAGCTTGAGAAGGGGCAGTGAGTCTGAGCTGGGCCAGTTGTGCAGGTTTCCCAGGGGCATCTCTGTCCCTCCCACCTGGCATGTCTTCTGTCCTTGGGGAACCTGCCTCCCACCTCCCCACTGGGCCATGGATGCCCCCACAAAGTGTGCTCAGGAGGCATGAAGTCCGTGAAAAGGAACTTTACTATGATCCATAAGAGGAAAGAAAATGGGACTGCTAGAGCAGAGGCTGGCTGAGGTCTCAGGCCCAGCCACGGCCTCAGGGCCTGCGTTCTCACAGTGTTTTGATGACTGTTCAGTCAAAATGGGAGTGAGTTGGGGCTACCAGACCTGAGATGAGGCTGGGTGGTCAGCACCTGCCCTCCAGCCCAGGGCAGCTGTTGAAGGGGCAGGCACTATTCTGAGGCTTGTCCTAAAGCTGGTGGGGTAGACTGTGATTGACAGGTCCCGTGAATGCCTTGATCCTCGGGGCTCAGCTGGAACCTTCTTGGACTCAGGTGCCCTGGTTGCCAGCTGATAGTTGGGTTGTCATGTCCCCGACACTGTCCCCTGGAGGGGGTCTGCTCCTCTGTTCCCAGCCGGGCCAGAGTAGCAGCCCTGGGGTCTCAGGTGCAGGCAGAGAGGAAGAAGGCCTGAATAGTGTGGCCCAGCTAGAGGACGTTGGCGTAGTCGTGGGGTGTCTGGGGCCTGGGTCTCTCAGTGGAGAGCAGCAGCCTCACCTGGAGGATAGCGTGTATGAGGGTGGCCTGCACACTCAGCCCGGCCCTCCCTGGGGTCTGAGGGCAGTGGTGGGAGCCCTGACCTTGGAGAGGGTGATGGCGGTGCTGTAGCTCATGCTGAGCAGAAAGAGCATGAAGAAGAAGCAGAGGCTGGTCCACAGTCCTCCTGGTTCCTCGCTCCCAGCCTCCTCCGTGTACAGGTCCTGGATGTCCAGCTCTGGGGAGACTGCCAGTTAGCGCTCCCCAATCTCTTGTGGCAACAGTGGGGACAGGTGGAGCCCCTGCTGGCCTTAGGCAGCACCCGCTGAGGCCTGAGTGGCAAAATTTCCTGTCCAGCCCTTTGGGATTGAGGGTTGGGGGTCCAAAGCCCCAGCTGGCTATTGGCTGTGCGGAGTCCTCAGTCCTCTGTCTTTCCTGATCACCCACCTCCAAAGTGGCCTGGCATTTTCTCTCATGACTTCTTTTCTGACACTGGCCCTGCTGAGTCCTTCCCACCCCCTGCCCACTGGCCTCAGGACAGTCTGAGGTCCAGAGCTGGCTTAGCCTGTCAGGCAGGCTCTGGCTCCAGGAAGCTCTGAGGGGCTGGCCTGGCCACGCAGACTTTGAGTCCAGGCCTGTGGGAGTCTAGAGCTGCTGCGGCTCTGTTAGGTGCACCCTGTCCTCCTGCCTCCTACCCTCTGGTATCACTGGATCTTCTTGCCCTGGCCTGGGCCTTCCCTGCACCATGTGCCATCTCTGGCCCTGCCAGACCCCTCCTTTTCTGCTGGCCCTGGGTGAGCCTGTGTGGCTGTTCCTACCAGCTCGAATGCCTGTTAGGCAGAGCTGTGGACACAGAGGGGCTGTGGGCTCACAGGTGCCCAGTGCCTGGGTTTTGAGTGGACATGATGGGTGCTTGCATGCTTAGCTGTGTGCCCTGCTGCACTCGTGGGGTGAGGGCCTCGGGGACCTGAGAGGGAAGTGGCTGTGACCCTGGCTCTTCCCACAGCCTCTAGGCCCTGGGAGTGGAGTGAAGCTTGGTAAAACAGATGTGTGGGGTGAGGGATAGAGCCCAGCCATGGGGAAGGGTGTGTCTGTGTGTCCACATGTGTCTGTGTCCCTCCCTATGTGTCCTTGTGCCCAGGTCCATCTGTCTTTGGGGTGTAGCTGACAGGGTAGGGGTGGACTCGGGAGGCTGGGGAAGCAGGAGGAAGCCGTGAGGGCTGCTGAGCCTCCCTTGTCTGTCTTGGACTTGGGATGTGGGGGAAGGGCTTGGAAGTGGCCTGGCTGGAGGGCAGCTTAAGAGGCTGAGCCTGGACCACGCATGAGTGTCGTTGGCCATGCAGGGCACTGTTGGGCTGGCAGTGTGGCCCAGAGTGTGCATGGCGTGTGCATAGCCCTGTGTGCCACCAGTGCCTACACAGAGGGTGGGCACCTCTCCAGGGATCGGTTAGGACATCAAGACAGGGAAGCCCTGAGTCATCACCCCGAGGGGATGGGGTGGGAATGACTCAGCCCTGCCCCACTGTGCACAGAGGCAGACACCACTGCCCCGCCTCAGGTGGTGCTGTTGGGCTCCTGTGAGTGTGTCTGTGTAGGGGTAAGACTCAAGCTCTTTCTCCACAGAAAGGGCCACGTGTCCAGCTATGCTAAGTCTGCAGGGACTCATCTATTCAGAGGGTGGGAGCCAAGACCTCCAGGAGAGTGAGCGCTGTGGGGGTTGGGCTCAGCTGGACCCCCTCTGAAGTCCTCCCTTGGCTCTTTGGACTCTTTGGGGCAGGCAGGCAAGACCCATAATGGGGTGGTAGGTAGGGCCGGAGGTGTCTGTGCTGTCTGAAAAATGCCATGCCTCAGCCCTGCCCACCTGCTCCCACCCCTCTTCTGGGGGTCCCTTCTTCTGCACCAAGATGCCTGTGCCCTGCAGCTCTGTCCACTCCCAAGAATGGGGCACATCCTGAGCAGGCACTGAGTGTTTATTAGGTGGCTTCTCAGTGTTGGCACAAAGGTGGAGAGAGGTCTGGCTGTCTGACTGTCTTCCCCTCCCCCAGCCAGACAGAGCCCTGGGAGGGAGGGACATGAGGACATCATTTACCGGGTTTTTTGGACACCACTTTCTCGAGGGTCCTATTGCTGCTGGACAGCGCCTCGTGGACCACACAGCAGGCAAATTCTTTGTTCTGCTCCCAGTCTGCCCTGGCCACCTCCAAGCGGCTGAACACAAAGAAGGTAGGGCTGGAGCTATGGGCCTTGCGGGGCAGTGTCGTGCTTTGCTGACTGTCCTGCACCGGCATTTTGTCACACAGCCACTGCACTGAGATGTCCGCCGGGAAGAAGTTTTGGATCAGGCAGGTGAGGGTGAGATTGTCCCGGGGCTCCTGCTCCTGCTCCTCAGGTGGTGGGAACACGTAGACTTCTGGGGGGACCCGTTTGCCTGCGGAGGGGTGTGGGGTCAGCCAGGATCCTCCTCCTCTCTGACCCGGGTCCCACCCGCCTGTGGCTATGGCTCACCAGGGGCCTTGGTGATGGTCCGGATGAGGTCCCTGGGTAGGTCAGGGTGGTTCACCTTGCACTGGTAGGTCTCACCCATGATCCAGTCACTGGCGTCCACTGGCAGGGTGGATGTGACAGTGACCGTCCCATTGTACTGTTTCTTGAACACCAGGGGACCTGGCATCACAGGTTTGCCACTGTCTCGGGACCAGACCAGGCTGACATGTTCCTTGCTGGCCAGGTCCACCACTAGGCAGGTGATCTTGGGTGACTTGTGGACATACAGCTCCAGGGGGCTGGGTGGGCTCAGGTAGGCGGTCACCCCTCGAGGCTCGGAGTCTACAGCGTGTGAGAGGGGCTGCCTGAGACCCTGCCCGCCCTCCCTCCCTGGCCCCTGTGTCTGGGTCAGATAGGTGGGGCCATACCTGTGCACCACCGGGTGCTGTCCTCAAAGATGTGTCCTCGGTAGGTGACTTGGCAGGTGTAGGTCCTCTCGGACACCCACTCGTCCAGGGAGATGTTGAACTCACTCTGTATGGAGGCTAGTTTGCCCTCCACCTTGGCTGGGGCAGTATACTGGGAGGCACTGTTGTCTACCTGTCCATCCACCAGCCAGGTGACCTTAATGGCACCCGGGCTATAGCTGGAAATGAGGCACAGGAGCTGGACGGTGGAGGAGGTGCCCTCATTGGGGTCACAGGAGGAGTGGAACAGCTTCACGACAGGTAGGGAGAAGTGAGTGGAGCATGCTGCGGGTGGAGGTGGTGGGTTGTGAGGACCCCCTGGCTACCCTGAGCCCCGTTCCCTCCTCTTGGCCCTGCAGTCCCAGCCCAGGGCCTGAAGCATGCTGGACATTCCCTAAATATGAGCCCACCTATCCCCTGCTGACACCTCTTGTCAGCCTGGCACCCTCGTTAGTCCTTCCTGCTCTGACTACAGTTTCTCTTGGTGCAATGGGGGGCCCAGCCCTTGCTCACCTGCAAAAGTCTTGTTGACATGGCTGTTGGACGGAGCATGCACCACGCTGCAGGTGAACTGCTGCTTGGCCCATGCGCCCATGGCAGTCACGCTGCTGGTGGTGGCGTATAGTCCAGAGGTCCCAAGGGAGATGGCTGGGAAGGTCATGACAGTCTTGTTGAGGGAACCTGTGTCCCAGGTCACAGTCACTGGTTCCGGGAAGTAGCCCAGGACCAGGCAGCCCAGAGTCAAGAAGTTGTTGTTGTTGGTGCTGCAGCACGGGGCCAAGGGGAACACAGCGCTGGGGCCCTGAGTAGGGACTGTGGGGATAGGGCTCCGTTAGGCCTGGGGTCTGGGAAGGGCAGTGGGACTCAGTGGAGGAGGCTGGGGACCTGCTGAGGCCCAGGGGCTGAACTCCCTGCTCTCCTTGGCCCTTGCTCACCCTCTGATGCCTTGGGCTGGGCTCAGGGACATGGGTGTCCCCAGGATGGCCCTAACTCAGCACTGAGTAGCTGTGATGTGGACTCCTGAGGGCAGAGGCAACAGTGTGGACTCCTTAGCTCACACCCAGAGCCCACAGACCCTAAGGTGCACGGCCCCCCAGGCAGGCCCAGGGGTCACTAGGCTGTCCCCTCCCCCATGCTGATCCTTTGGGGCTCCCTGTAGTGGGTCTCTCTACTCCTCTAACCAGGGCCCACTCTTTGAGGCTGCTGGGTCTCCTGAGTGCTCTGCCATGGTGTCCCTCCACTCAGCCCTTCTCTGACAATCCAGGTCTCCTGACTGGCCTCTGAGGGCCAGGGGAAAAAGACTTGCCATTGATACTCCATGGGTAGAGCTGAAGACCACATAGAGGCCATTTAACTGCTCCTGCACAACTGCCCAGGCTGCTTGGATCTGTACACCGCTGCCCCATTGCTGACTTGCTCCTGGGTGCCCAGGCCCTCCTGGCCCAGCTATACACTCAGTTTGGTAAAGAAAGCCTGTCTGATATGGCCCAGAGTCCAGTTCAGCCCAGCCTGGCTCAGCTGAGTTTAGCCCTGCCCAGACCATTACAGCCTAGGTCAGCCCAACTCATCCCAGTCTAGCTCAGTCCAGCACAATCCAGCTTGGCCCAATCCAGCTCAGCTCAGCTCTGCTCAGCTCAGCCCAGCCCAGCCTGGCCCTGCCTAGCCTAACTCAGCCAGCTCAGCCCAGCTTAGCTCAGCCCAGCTCAGCTCATTCCAGCCCAGCCCAGCCCAGGCCACCCCAGTGCAGCTGAGCCTAGTTCGGTTCAACCCAGCCCAGCCTAGCCCAGCTCAGCACAGCTTAGTCCATCTCAGTCCAGCTCAGCTCAGCCCAGCCCAATATAGCTCAGCTCAGCTCAGCCCAGTACAGCTCAGCTCAGTCTAGGCCATCCCAACCCAGCTCAGCCCAGCTCAGATCAGCCCAGCTCAGATCAGCCCAATTTGGCTGAACTCTGCCCACCTCAGCCCAACCCAGCCTAATCTGGCCCAGCTCAACCCATCTGGCCCAGCCCAGCCCAACCCAGCCCAGCCCAGTTAGCACTGACCAGCTCAGCTCACCCTAGCCTAGTTTAGCTCAGCTCAGGCCAGGTCAGCTGAGCCTAGTCCAGTTCAGCCCAGCATAGCCCAGCTCAGTCCAAGCCAAGTCAGCTAAGCCCATCCCAGCCCAGTTCAGCCCAGTTCAGCTCAGTCCAGGCCATCCCAGCACAGCCCGGCTTAGCTCAGATCAGTCTGACTCACTCTAGTTCAGTTCAACTCATGCCAGTGGGCTGACAGCTCAGCCCAGCCCAGTTCAGTTCAGCACAACCCAGCCCAGGTAGCCCAGTCAGCTCAGGTCAGCTGAATCCAGTCCAGGCAGCCTACTTCAGCCCAGTTTAGCCCAACTCAGCTCAGCTTAGCCCAGCTCAGTCCAGCCCTGCTCAACCTAGCCCTGCCCAGCCCAGTGCAGCTCAGCTTAGCTCATTCCAGCCCAGCCCAGCCCAGCCCAGCCCAGGTCAGCACCGCTCAGGTTAGTTAGTCCAGCTCAGCTCAGCTCAGCTGAGCTTAGTTCGGTTCAGCCCAGCCCAGCCCTGCCCAGCTCAGCCCAGCTCATTCCAGCCAAGCTCATTCCAGCCTAGCTCATTCCATCCCAGCCCAGCCCAGCCCAGCACTAGTCAGCCCAGCTCAGGTCAGCCTAGCCTAGCCCAGCTCAGCTCAGCTCAGGCCAGCTAAGCCCAGCTCAGGCCAGCTTAGCTGAGCCTAGTTGGGTTCAGCTTAGCCTAACTCAGCCTAGCCCAGCTCAGTCCAGTTCAGTCCAGCTCAGACAAGTTCAGCCCAGTTCAGGTCAGCCCAGCCTAGTTCAGGGCAGTTCAGCTCAGCCCAGCTCAGCTCAGCCCAGCCCAGCCTAGCCCAGCTCAGCACAGGTTAGTCCATTTCAGTCCAGCTCAGCTCAGCCCAGCTCAGCTCAGCTCAGCTCAGCCCAGCTCAGCGCAACCCAGCTCAGCTCAGCGCAACCCAGCCCAGGTAGCCCAGTCAGCTCAGGTCAGCTGAGCCCAGTCCAGGCAGCCTAGTTCAACCCAGTTTAGCCCAACTCAGCTCAGCTCAGCCTAGCCCTGCCCAGCCCAGTGCAGCTCAGCTCAGCTCAGCCCAGCCCAGCCCAGGTCATCCCAGTCTAGCTCAGCCCGATACAATTCATCCCAGTTCAGTCCAGCTCAGCCAAGCCCAGCCCAGGCCAGTTCAGCTCAGCTCAGCTCAGCTCAGCTCAGCTCAGTACACTCAACTCAGCCCAGCCCAGCTCAGCTCACCCTAGCTCAGTCCAGTTCAGGCTATCTCAGCATAGCCCAACTTAGCCTACCTTAACTGAGTGGAGTTTGGCTCAGTTTCACCCAGTGCAGTCCAGGTGGTCTCAGGCCATGGCCACCTACAGGTCTGCCTACTGAGCCCCCCCCTCTTGTCTCCACACAGCTCATTTTGCTGGTCAGGTCCTCCAAGGTCAACCTCACATAGCTTTGGCCAGCCTAGACTCTTCTGACTTCATTTTGTCCTCTCTAGGCTCCCTTAGCTTTCCAGACTGGAGCTGCTTGGGCCTGCCCTTCCTGGTAATCTCAGCTCATCCCTGTCCAAGTTGGTCAATGATGTCCCAGGACAACCCAGCCAGCCCTGCACAGTGAGGCTTGCCTGTTTCACTGCGCTCTCACCCTAGCTCTGACCACTCACTCAGCCCAGCTATTTCCAGCACAGCTTGGGCCAATCAGCGGGGCTCAGGACAGTTCTGCTTGGTCAAGCCCTTCAAGGGCCAGAGTAGCTCCCCTTTGTCCCTGTAGCTCAGCCCTGTCAACTTCAGCCTGTCAACTCTGACTGGCCTGGGCCAGCCCAGAGGATGTGGACAGAGGCTGGCCTGCGTGCAGCTCAGCACAGGATAGCTCCCAGCTGCCATGCCACTGTCTCTGGGACCTCAGGCCAGCCTGGCGCCTCTGACCTGCTTGGCCTGGGGCTGGCCCAGCCCTACCCTATCTAAGACTTACAGGCCTTTGCCTTCTCCCAGTCAGCTTCAGGCTGTTACCCTGTCCCTGTGCAGGGAACGGGTGGCTGAAGGACATGCCCTGACCAAGAGGCTCGGCCCATGCTGGGAGGGCAGTCCAGGTAGCCTCTTCTCCATCTGGAGCCTAGGTGGCCTGCCTCTCACTGCCACCCGGGCAGGCTGCTTGACTGGGGCTCCCCATGGGCTGGGATACCTGCAGTGCTGGGCTTTGTGCTAGGTGCCACGGCCGGCGTGACCTGTCCGTCTGCAGCCATCTGTTGGTCCCTGGATAGGCTCCCAGATGTTCACCATTGTTGTTATTTTTATGCTCAGACAATAGGGCCTGGGGGAGGGAGCTCTGCCTCAGTGCCCTCAGCTAAAAATGGGGTGGGAACCCCCGGGGCCCGCCCTGGAAGTTCCCTTTTCTCTTGTTCTTGGGAAGTTGATTGAGCAATGGCAGGGCTCAGGTGAGGCTCTGTGCAAGGTGCTTCTCCCTACAGCCTCCTCCTCACCCGCATGCTCCTGCATGCTCAGGCTGCATGGAGGGGCACTGGGTGCTGTCCCCGCCTGCGGCAGCCTTGCAAGGAAAGCATGGTGGTTGTGCTATGCACTGGGAAGAGGCAGAAGGTTCCTGTGGGGCTGTGTGCCTGAGATGTGAGCCCATTGCCTGCTGGCCGCGGACCTCACTCTTAGGCACTGTCCTCTGTCTTACAGCTGAGGCCCTGAGCTGGGCTACTCCTCAAGGGTATAAGAAGGGATGGCCCAAATGGGGCTGTGGCCAGGCAGCCTGGCTGGTGAGAGCTGGTGGTTCTGTAAGGTCCCTGCAGCTGCTGAGGCTGAGGGTGCGGTGCTGGCTGTGTCCACCAAGGGGGACATAGGTGAAGCCAGGCTTGGAATTGGTGCTCCACTAACCCTGAGTGAAGTCATTTCCTTTACACTCTTGACACCTCCTGCAGGAGGCCCCAGGATGGATGCTATGGCCCAGAGGGTGGGGTGGGCTATGCAGTCTTTGATGAGGGAGGGAGACAGTAGGACCCTCTAGGCTGGCAGTCACCATGCAGGGTGACTGCATAGTGGGGATGGAGGGGGGACATGGCTCCTGCATAGTGGGGATGGGGAGGACATGGCTCTGCCAGGCCCAGAGCTCTCGGAGGGCTGTTTAGGAAGTCTGGGAGACCTCAGAAGAGCTACTGGACTACCAGGGCCAGGTTGGGCCAGGCTATGCCAGGGCTGACTCAGTCCTGCCTTGTTCTTGTCCTGGGGCGAGGTGCCCTGTGGGAGGCTGAGGGAGAAGTGTTGAATTCCCTGGAAGGACCTGTGATGCTGAGATAAACCACAGGGCCAGGGGCCTCTGCCCGCTTTGAGTCCTGCCAGGAGGTGCCAGGCCCTGCAGCCTGCTCCATGCTGGTGTGGGACTGGGGGCTCTGCTGGCCTGGAGGGGCTAGCCTGCTGCTCCCACTCCATCCATCAAGGCTGCACCCTATGTGGCTGGGCTCTGGTGGGCCCAGGGCGGCCCAGGGCAGTCCGGGGTGGGCCAGGGACCCAGGGGGCTGGACAGAAAACACAGTGTAGGTTGGCTCTGAGCCAGGGAACCCTGAAGCCCCTTTTCTCTCTCTTTTTTAAGATTTTAAAGTCGGGTTTACTGAGTACAATTCACATCCAGTATAATTCATCCTGCTGTGTATGAGTTTTGACACATGCGTGGTCAGTGTAGTTAAGATGAAGAATAGCTGTGGTCACTCAGGAATTCCCTCATGCCCCTTTGCAACACCCGCCTGCTCCCTGGCCCCTAGGAATCCATCGGTTTATTTTCTGTCAACAGGGTGAAATTTAATTATTGAAATAATCTATTATGGAAAAAATTGTCAACATATGAAACACACAAAGCCAAGTTTTAAGAAAATGAGGTACTTTAGAATGTTTTCTTTAATACACCAATAGACTGAGGGCAGTGTGTCACACTGCACTGCAGATGAGCAGGGATTTTTCTTCCGGTGCAGAAGTGGAGTTGAATCCAGCCTACTGCTGTCATACATGTGCTTGGTGATGTTGAGGGGATACCAGAAATAATCTTCGAAATGACCTTTACAAACTGAAGCAGTGATAAAGTTGTCTTAAGATAGCTGCACAGTAGCCAGTCCAGTCAAAAAGGCTCTAATGCCAGCCTTTTCAAGAGCAAGTTTTAATTACACCTTTGCAGTGTGTGGACCCAGATGAGGGCTGCTCCTTGTGTTAGTGCCATGTCAAGATGCAGGCAGGAAAGTGAAGTCAGGAAGCTGCTCTGAGTCCCAGCCCCATGCAGGGCCTGTGGCTGGCGAGGGCCCCTGAGGGAGGGCCTGGCTGCGGGTGCCCCTTACACCCCTCAGTCTGCCCTAGGACATCTGCTGTTGGCAGCAGTGCCCATAAGCCCTCTTGGGGCTCTCAGGCTTTTCTGTGGCGGGACAAGGCCCTGGGTTCCCTGGGACTGGCTGTCTTTGGCTGTGGTTCTGAGTGCAAGACTTCTCCAAACACCTCTCCTTCTCCAAGGCCCCACCCAGCCCCTCCTTGCCAGCCCCATCCAGTCAACGCCTCTCCACCGGCTGGGTTTCTAGCCATCTGCTTTCCCTGGGAGGCTCTCTGGAACTTCTGCTATCCTTAAGGGCATAGCCTGGCGTCCCGTTCTTCTAAGCTATGTGCGCTGTGCCTGCTGAGACTGAGGACCTCTTCAGGCCCTCAGGAACATCTTGGTGTCCCTGTCTTTGCTCTGATCATGTTTCTAGAGGTTTTCCTGTCAATTTCTTGGAAATTAGCAAGGCAGTAATTTCCAGATGCCACCATCTTGTTGGCTCTAGACTTGCGAGGGTCCCCTGTTGGACCCCTGCTGCCTGTTGCCACTCAGGTCTCTTCTCAGTCCCCGTGGGGTCACATGCACCACTCATCATCCCCTGGCTTGTACTTCTGGAGGCCAAAGAACTCCACTACTTGCCTGTTCCTGGGGCTGCTATAATAAGGTCTACAAGCTCGGGGGCTCAGAATAGCAGAACTTCACTCTCTCCCAGTTCTGGAGGCCAGAAGTTTGAGAACCAGCTGTCAGCAGGGCTGCACTTCCTCTGGAGGGTTGGGGGACCCTTCTGGCTCTCCCAGCTTCTGGTGGCCCCTGATGCCCCTCGATCTCTCTGCATCACTACCACATGGACCACTCTGTCTCTGTGTTGTCTCCTGTTCTTATGAAGACATCAGTCTTTGCACTTAGGGCCCGTTCTAGGTTTAAAGTGAGTATGATGTCAGCATAAGACATAACTGGTTACATTTGCAGAGGTGCTGTTTTCCAAGTAAGGTCCTATTCTGAGGTTCCAGGTGGACAATGAGATACTCTTATCCCACTATGCCAGCCTGGGCTTACACAGTTTTAATTTGCTTTAGGGTCACCTTTTGGAGGTGAGTCTCAAATCCCGTGGGCTCACTGCCCACACCTGGAAGGCGGGGCCCCTGGTGTGAGGCAGTGACTCGGCCAAGCTCCGTTTCCCACCCTCCTCCCAAGCTGCCACACCCACTCCCCTTTGCCTCACAGTGCCACACTCATTATGTAGCGGGTTCCTGGGACAGTTTGGCCATGTGGAGGTCATGGTGATATCCCCATGCCAGCTTGACAGGCTGAGGGAGCCCAGCTGGCCGGTGAGGGGTCCCTGCTATGCCTGTGATGGCAATTTCTAAGGAGAGTGGCTGTCACACATGAGTTGGAGTAAAGATCCACCCTCACCAGCATGGTGGGGCATGAAGGCCTGGACAGGACCAGAGAGGGGCGGAGAGGAGGGGACTCTGTGTCCCTCTCTTCTCCTGCCTGGGATACCATTGGCCCTGCAGCCCCACCCCTGGTTCTCAGGCCTCCGACTCTGGCTGGATCTTACCCTGGACTTCCTGCTGCCCAGCTGGCAGGTGGCCTCTGTGATTGTGTGGACATCCATGCTGCTGTGTCCGTACAGAGCCCTGACACACTGTCCCGAGCTCTTCTCTATCCCTGGGTCTGCCTGCCTTTGTAGGAGCACTGTGCTTCTTCAAGGACAGTGTGGCCAAAGTGTTGATGTTTGTGGGTCTCCTGAAACCCTGAATCCTTTGATCTTTGTCAAAATTTTCTCTGAGCTGTATATAGATATCAACAAATAAACGAACAAACCCCCAAACCAAACCCAACAAACTCAAGGCCCAAACTGAAAGCTAACCAAACCCATGTGGAGTTTTGATTGAGACTGCATTGTGCTTATTATTCTGGGGCATGAATGACACTTTGCTTTGAAAAGTCATCCCCTCCCTGCCTGTATCAACCTGCTTGGGCTGTGTTTCATTCCACTGCACCTGTGGCTGGAATCACCCCAAAAGCAGCGGGTAGAGTTCCCATGGGGGTGTTCTCTATGTCCTCCCAGGATGGGGCCAGATGTGATCCCAAAGAAACAGATGGTAAGTGTCAAGACGACCAATGCAGAGCATTTGTGGGGAACTCACTCCCAGAGGCTGCTGTATAGTCTCAGGCAGACCGTGGAGAAAGGAATGCTCTACCCAGGAGTGTCTGCAGCAGGGGTGGCATGGAGTTATAGGAGAGTTTCAGGGATCTGGCCCAGGGTGGGTGGTGTTTCTCCCAAGGTTTTGGGCAACCAGTTGGATACCTTATGAGTGTCAGGAAATGTTTATGGCCTTAGGTTGGGTTCACGCCTGCTGGAAACACCCTGCAACTGGCAGGGTTAGGGAATGTTCAAGGCATACTGTGATTCTCATTCAGGACACAGAAAGAGGGGCTGGGGACCATACAGGCTGCCAGAACAAAATAGCACAGACTGGGCAGCTTAAATCACAGGAATCTACTTTTTTCACAGTTCTGGAGGCTAGAAGTCTGAGATCAGGTGCCCACATGGCTGGTCCCAGCTTGCAGGTGGCTGCTGTCGCTGTGCCTCGAAGGTGGAGAGAGAGGAGGGCCAGCTGGCTGGTGCTCCTCTTCTGAGGTGCTCATCCTGTCAGATTGGGGCCTCAGCCTCAGGACCTCATGGAACCTCAGTTACTTCCTCCAAGCCCATCTGCAAATACAGCCACACTGGGGGTTAGGGATTAAACATGAATGAGGGCGGGCACATCCAGGCCATAACAGCATCTGTCTAGCTGTTCAGCTTAATTTCAGGTCTTTCAATGGAATTTACATTTTTTCCACAAACATCTTGGGCATTCTCTCTCTACTAATTCCCATGTTGTTGTGAATGGCACCTTGCTTTCTATTATATCTTTATACTCGGTTTTTGCTGACGTAGAGGAGCGAGTTTTGCTAAGTTGTTTTGCATTTAGAAATCTTACTGATTTTTTTTCCTTCTTTCTAATAGTTTGTTGATTCTGTTGATCTTCCATATAAAATATTATATCACCTGCAAATAATGACACTTTTGCTTCTTTTCCAATCTTGATAGCTTTTTTTTTTTTTGGAGACAGTGTCACTATGTTGCTCTTGGTAGAGTGCCATGGTATTTAATAGCTTATAACAACTTCAAACTCATGGGCTTAAGAAATTC